CTCACCCTCTCAACCATCACCGACTGACCCCAGCTCGTGTGCGCGTTCACGGTACTCGAGGCCAGCCGCGCTGCTGCCTGCAGACAGCAGTGGAAAACGCTGGTGACACCCATCCTGCAACCCCCAAACCTGAGCTAAACACACCCGTTTCCCCTCCTGCATGGCGTTTGCGGGCTCCCGCCCTGAAATGGGCTCTGAGCGGCAAGAGGCAGAGGAAGCAACGCCGACGCTGCACACCGGGAGGGGTAACCTGAACTGCTTGCGTTTTATTCATCTCTGTATTTGACTGGAAGAACCAGCAGCTGGGGAAAAGGGGCCAGAGCATCACCGTAGAAGTTCAGTGAACGCTGCTGGGCAGCAACAACAAACCTCAGAGTGTACTGAGAAAGGAGAGACGGTACTGAAAGTGTCGCAGCGGCGTGCTGTGAGTAAGCAGCCGTACACCTCCGGATGCTGCAGGCACTGCTGGTCGCCCCAGACAAGGGTTTTAGAAGAACCAGAGACAACGCTGCAGTGGACAGCAGAGATCAGAGCCTTGGAAAGACTTCCAGACAACGAGAGGGGAGATGGCGCGGGATTTAAAGATTCATCGTACGGGCACACACAGATGCAGTGAAATTAAAAGGCAGCAACATTTGCTGAAGAGCCACGCTAAACCCGGAGGTTCGGTTCGTTGCTTTTTCCAAGGCTACCCCGTCTCCACGTAGTTAACCTATTTCTGGTCTCTTCGCTCCCGTCTGCCAGCTCGAGGAAGCATCAGCTGCTACTGAATTCTCAGGATGTTAAGTGAGGGTCTAAAGAGCACTTGTCCTTTCTCCCTACCTCCTAATAACTGAGGGATGAGAAAAACGACAGCAGACTCCCAGCGCTGGAAGGCTTGTGGCTTTTGCACAGGTTCAGCACTCAAAGGGGCGACGTCCACTAACACACATCCAGAAAGCCCAGACCTACAGAGGCAGCGGGGAGAAAAATGCTTGCACAGCTCCACACAAGCATCGTATCCTAAACTAGTACAGAATTGTGACAAGGAAAACCGAATTTTCAGCTAGAAAGTCCGAATTGAGAAAAAGTGAAAAAATCATATAAACATGAAGGAATATTTTCGTTTAGTATTGATATCAAGTACATACAAAGAACAGGCTGAAGTTGCACACGAAAGGCTGGGCTTTTAGCACTCTGGGAAAAAAAACACTCGTGCTAGTACACTAAGCAGAAGAGTTTCCATTTTTTTGCATTAAACCCCACCCCTAAATTAAAACCGGCTTGCTTTAAATGCTTCCCTGTTCAGCTGCACATGCTAATTGGAGGATCCAAAGCAGAGATGAATTAAAGTGGCTGGGCTGTACCAAACCCAAGCTCTCCGCAGCGGCAGCGGGCTGTGGGAGGCCTGGAGCTCCCTGCAGGAGAAGGTGAAGGCAGAATGCCAAGGGACGTGAATGCCAATTCAAATTTCCCTTCCGCTCATGGGACCCGACAAAATTAACGTCTCATGGGAACACCCCGCTTCTCAGGCTAATCATCACCCCCTTCTGACGCCTTTGGGCACGTTTTGTGCAGCTGAAGGGTAGATTTCATTTTGCCAAATAAAGGGGAATTTTAACTTCTAATGGCTAGGAGAGGGGAAAAAAAACCAACAACAAAAAACCCAACCCTATTCTGAACCGTGACGCATGTGTTCAACAAACGCTTCACACACAAGAAATCCCCAGCTTGGCACACGTCGCCAACGGACCGTCCAGGACAGGAAGCTATCAGAGCTTCCTCCGCAAGCTCCTAGGATCCCTAACTGTACCACTAAATAAATACTCAACAAAAACAGACCTCAAAAGGCAGGCAAGCCTGTCAGAAGAAAAAAAGAGCAACCCATGAGGTACCAAACAAAGCGAGCGATGGCAGGGCGGCCCGGCAAGGGGAGACGTGGAAGGAATGCTCAAGGCCAAGCGGAAGGCGTTCACTGCCAGAGACGTGGGAATGAGGCACGGCCTCGAGCGGCCGGTGACCTGTAAGCTGCGATTTCACAGCGGCAGAGCAGTTCAAGTCTTCCTTCCACGTGCCCACCCCTCCAGGAAGGATTTCCCACCCCTCCAGGAAGGATTTCCCACCCCTCCAGGAAGGATTTCCCACTTGCTTCCCACCAGACAGACTTTCACGGTAAGGACAGAACTGCCTGGAGCAACTTTTGCTTGAACGCGGTGCGTCCTTCTGCGATCCCCAAAGACTACGTAGGACCTCGCAGGGAGGACAACGGGGGAGGCGGATGAGCCAGGGGGAGGTGAGCATGTACCCGAACCAGGGACAGAGCCCTGGAATACAGGCTATCACCCCTCGGCAGCCGGCACCCACCTCCCCAGCGCGGGGACCCCGAGGCCCGTTCGGCAGTGGAACCTCATCTGGTCCAGACCAAGGGAGAGAGGAGGTTTCGGGGCAAAACGGCCCAGCCGTACCTCTTTTGGGGACTTTCAAGGCAGCAGATTCTGGTGTTTCTGGGGACGTTGTATCAGCTCCATCTTCAAAGACCTGGATCTGGAAAAAGTATAACAACTATCATTAAAAAAAACCCCAAAAAACCCCAACCAAACAAACCAAAAAAACCCATAAGCAGAATGTGATCAGAAATCAGGTCCGTTTTGGTAGCAGATTTAAACAGCGCAGACTGCATTTTTTTGGCACAGATCTTTAATTTAGTCATTCAAGCTCAGCTATCCGACCATCCTCCTTCCACAGGCTTCCTGAAAACAGCAAAATATTCTTTATTCACATAGGGAATAAAGAATATTCACATAAGGAGTAAATAAAGTCAAAACTCAGGATTCGACAGCCCAGAACATCTCCAGCAGTTCCATGATCACTCCACAGAGCAACCAGTTCACGAACCTTGCTCTGACACGTTATTTTAAGTTACTGACACTTGACAGAAAGCTCAATTTTTATTTTTTTGTGTGTGGTCTTAGCAAAAATTATTTTAAAACTCTTCTTTCTCTTCATAAGGAAAACTGCTTTTCTCTGAAACAGAGAACTTCAGTGACTCCAAATGCAGCACAGCCAACAGAGGGGGGTTTGTTTTGGTTTTACAATCTGGAAGCTGCCCAGCTCTCTAGGGAACCCCAGGAGGCACAGACAGGAACACAGCTCAGGTTTGAGCCGCGTTAAGCTATCTAAGGGTTGAAGGTTTAGGGCTATCTCTTTGTTAAATATTTTTGCACACATTTTTGCCTGATAAATATAGAAAACAATGCTGGAAAGGATCAGATCACTTCTTGAGAGCCATCCCTTCCCCTTAGAAGATCAACACTGCCTGAATCGTTTCCTGACAGGTATTTGCCTGATCTGTTCCGTGAAAACCTTAAGCCTGGAGGTTCAGTTTAAAAATAATCTGTAAACCTGTCAGCCACAGTTTCTATTTTGGGAAGATGCCCAAGTACCAGGACCATACTCTTAAATTACAAGAAGCAAGGAGACTGAGCAAGACTATGCCACAGAAATCACGACAACCGCACCGATGCTGAGAATACTCAAACCACGGTTTTAAAAGTGAGGACAAGGCGAGGGCCCCTCGGATCCTGATGACATGGGGAATGTGAAAGAGCCGACCTGCCCCAGCCAGGCGCCCCCCATCTTCGGAGTGACTCGGCAGCGCACAGAATTTCACAACTTTTCACTAAACGCAGCAGCACGACAAAACCAGACCCGAGGACTATGGAAGCGGGGTCCCGGGGGATCTGCTGCACCAGGTCATGCACAGGAGTTTATCCAAACCGAGGGTGGGATTTTGAGCGGTCTTGGGGTTCCCCACCAGGTACGACTCAGGTGGAAACACCAGACTTGCTGGGAGCCGGCTAACAAGAAGAAGGTGGCAGGAACCAGAACAGGGCTTGCTTTTGGGTTAGGCTGGAGAAGCGCAACAAGGTACAAGATGTCCTGCAGCAGCAGACTTAAGCTGATGAGCTCCTCTGCCAAGCAGGAGCAGAAAAGCAACTCCACTTGATGTCAAAATCAGCGATAATGTTTCCACACACCATAAAAGGATACTCATGTTCAAAATTACTAGCCCAAATACAAGTCCCAGGCAAGCAAAATGTTAAGGCTGCCAAAAGATATCGAGCAAACCCTCGGTGGGAAACGCCTGTCCGTGTTGACACAGCTGCTCGAAGCAGCGCTCCAGCCCTCTGACAACTGGAAGACAAGCAGGGAGGTGATGGCCAGAAGCAGAGAGGCAACAGCCCCTCCGCGGCACCCACCCTCTGCACGGGGAGCCGAAACACCCCCGGCTCAGTCCCGCAGCCCGAGGCGGCGAGTGCCTCCGTCACAGCTCTGCCGCAGCCACCTTCCCTCCCCTCCTGCTGGCCAGGACACCCAGGAGGCTGGGGGGGGGAGGCCAGGACACCGAGGGGACGGTGTGACACGGCTACGGGACGGCGGCCAGGAGACATTAACGTCCCTAGAGCCACCACGCTTAAAGAGTCTCCACCCTGAAACTCTCCGTCGACTCAGCTAGAGATACCCACCCTGCTCCCCCGTGGGATGCTGCTTCACGTACGGGCGTAGCAGCGAGGAATGGTTTGGTGGTTATTTCAGCTCTTTTGGCTCTCTGCTTCCCTTTGAGCGAGGCGAGGCATTGCTGGGACGCCCGCCGCCGCCGCAGCCGGCAATAACCCGATCGGTCTGGAGCAGATGTATCGCATGGGCTTGATCCTTCCCCAGGAGATGAGCACTTCGTTACAGCTAAAGCACAGCATCAAATCCCTGTGCGGGATCTACTTTGATGATTGCATGAAATAGGAGAAGAAATTTACCTAAAATCTTTGAAATTTTCCCATCAGTACATTTTTAGAGCTGAAATGCCACAATAAATTAAAAGACTAAGAACACCGCTAGGCTTTACTGATGCTGGTATTACCGGTACTCATTTTTTGAGATATACTTTTAAATGCAGGGGAGAAGAGAAAGTTACTTAATCTTGGAAATTCTTAAAAACACTTTACAAGTGTTTAGCAAGATGTGCTTGTATTGATGCAGGTGATCTGCTCCATAAGCAATGAGAAAGACATTTCTCATTTACAAATTTTTCCCCCCCCAAAAAAAAGATTTATTATTGACATCCAGTGGTCTGACACCGTGCGTAACCACAGGACAGCCACCCGGTATGCCGGGGAAACCTAGGAATGAAATACGAGAGGAAGCAGTAGACAGATTTACAGAGGAGAGCACAAGCAGAGCATTAACTCTGCTGAGAGGGAATCCTGCCATTTTCCGTTTATATCTTAAAGCCGGTTCTTGAAAAATTAATGCCCAGACCGTAATGGTCACTTAGGTGACCGGCCGCCCACACCCTGGGCAGCTTCCTCCACCACTTCTGCTGGTCTTCTGTTCTGGTGCAGGCTGACTGACCGGCTCGCTAAGCCCTCGTGCTGGAAGTCCCCTGGGAAGCTGTGCTCCGCAGTAAGAGCTTGAGAAAAAGGCTGGAGCGCAGAGCCGTGGCCCTGCGCCTGTTCGGCGGCTGCTGCACGAGGCAGGCACAGGAACCGCTGCGATTTGCAGTCCGTGCTGGATACGCTCCTCAAAGATCGCGCTCCCCTGTGCTCACCAAGTTCACCTTTCCACACAGGTCGCAGATCCAGAGTCAGTGCTGCTGGCCCTGGTGCACGTTCTCCGCACGTGCACACCAGGGATTTGCTCTTTCGCAGGGGAGAGCGGGCAGAGACAAACTACTTACCATCACCGTGGAAGAGCAGCTTATTTTTAAGCAAACTGTGTGCTCCTCAGCTGGAGACACGCAAGACCCCAGCCGTTCCAAAACCAAAGCGAGAAAGGGGAAGCACAGCAAGAGGAGGCTGTCAGACCCCGCAGCGAGCCTCAGCCCTCCTGCACACAGCTCCCTCGGGCCGGCTCCTGCAACCCCACAGGTTTCGCGTCGAGTCCCAGGAGAAGACACTACCGAGCACCCTTCAGTCTGACCCCGCAAACACCCCGTGCAAAGCCATACACAGGAACCTTTCCACCGCCACCCTGCCGTCGCCAGCAGACGAGATGGAAACTCCTCTGAAGGCCCCAGGCGAGCACAGCAACGCTGACCTGCCCACGCCAGCACCGTGGGTCACATTCATACCACTGCACGTCACCAGACGTCCGATGGGTGCAGAGGGCCACGCTATGCCCGGAGCACAGTAGCTGCCTGCGTGTTCCCCCCCGGGTCTGCCAGCACGGGGATTTCACAAGTGCTTGACGGGCAGAGACCTGCCAACAGGCTGCCCTGTGTGCTGAGCTCCTCTCCAGCCACCCGGTCTGGGAGTCGTGCGTCCCGGCCCTGCAGACCAAAGCTTTTAATTGTAAACTACTTATTTACTTTTCCAGCTGGCAGGCGAGGCTGAGCGACGGACCAAGGAAGCCAGGCCCATGAGTCCCAGCGAAACAGCCAGCAGAGAGCATTCACTTCTCATCGGTGAACCCTCTGACCACGCGTGGCCTGAAGGCCCTTCTGATGGCCAGGGCAGAGGATGCTGGGATCCACCCCAGGACTCCTGCCCCTAAAACCCCTTATTCCGTGTTCAGCTTCCCCCACGCTTCCTCAGTCGCCCGCTGCCAACGTCCTGGAAGCGAGCCACCACGTCTGGTGGGGCAGCAGGAGGGTCTGCGGGAGTGGAAAGGAGCTCGCTCTGCTGCCGAGATGCCACAGGGTCGAACTTAAACCAGTCGTTTTGTGCCAAGGAAGGAGGAGAGGAGCTGAACATCTCTCACCGTGACATCGTGCTTGGAGCACACCAACCTGTGGGACTCAAGAGCAGCGTCACTTTTCTGCGCTTGTGCTGTTTGAAGATTACACAGAGGAAATTAAAATGGAAGAGACTTGTTTGTACATAAACAAGCTCCTAGTTCCTACCTGTTGTACACGAATCGCAAAAGCTCAACAACTAAACCCGAGTGACGCGTTTTATATACTTCAAGGTAAACGTTATTTCACTAAAATTCTCTGACTTTACTTCCAGGTAAACACCCAGATATTGGTCCCAAACTTCATCTCCTACAGATGATGTAGCCGGTAACTCTCTGAGGCAGCAGACAGCAGGCAGACTTTACTCTTCCTTTTGGAGGCAAAATAAAACCATTCCACGCTCTCTGGAATTCACCAAACTTTTTTTCACCCAATTAATCTGAACATATTTCACGATGACCCCATAAACCGGGCTAATCAAAACACTCAGTGAAACGTGCAGAGAAGCTGCGTGTCAGACTGGAACAAACCACAGCTCCGGCAGGAGCACAGCCTCCGGGCAAGGCTGCTGTCTGTATTTGGAGCTGCTCTGTTCCCTCGCACGATGGAAGATGGAGAGTCCCAGAAACATCGCTCCCTCTGGGAGCGAAGGGAACTTCTTTTATCTCTCCTCATCAGGGTGCAAAGGGCCATCTTCCTCTATTTAACCAAGCAACCCGTGAGCCACACATACCCGGGACGAGCCCGGCAAGCAGAGGTCATGGCAGGGCACGCGCAGAGGGAAGCGTACCTGTGACTGCCGCACAAAGATGCCGTGGTTTTCTTCACAGGTGAAGTATTTCCTGCCCTGCACGGTCCCATCGTTCTTGCCCTTTGCTTCATCCAGGATGACTCCGACCCACTTCCCCGTGGCAAACAGGGTGGCACCGACATAAGCCACGGTACCGCGGTGCCCCTTCCCGATGACTTCGACCCTGGAGCCCACCTTCAGGGGCTTGCTGCTCGCTTCCACGCTCATCCTGGTGCCGGTGCTGGATGCCTGACGACAGAGAGGAGAAGCACAGCAAGTTAAACACAGCTGCTGCAGACAGACGGACCCACGGTTCGGACGGCGGCTGTCTCATCCCCTCCAGCACCCCTCACCCCGGGCTCTGCACGGGGCCACCCGCAGCCCGAGGGGTCGGTCCCCCCTCACCTCCGCCGCCTTTTCTTTTCGGGAGCCAGCAAAAGGTAATTCCTTCCGTTACAGCTGCCAAACAGGAATCACAAACAGTGGCAAAACCACCATTAACTACCACTCTTCAGCTCTAACAGACACACCGGACTCACAAACCCAATTTATAAGTTTGGGTTTGGTTTTTTTTTTCCCCAAAGCTCCTAAAAAACAAAACTGTGAAGCAGCAGATGTTGGCGCAGTCATGTTTGCCTTAAGCTATACTTGCTCCGGCCTTTTTTCACCACATCAGAAATTGCCCACAGCTTTCCAGGCTCTTGCATTACATGCTCAGGAACAGAAAACCCATTTCTGATACAGTTCGCTTTCCTACCCCGTTTTATTGCCAGGATTTAAGAGGACCTGGTGGCCCAGCACCAGCCCGAGTTAGACCACCCACCCACACCAGTTTCCCACTGCATTCACGAGACCCCCCCCTCTGCGCCAGGACTCCGGGGTACCGGTTGTAACAGCGCTTCCCATCGGGATGCTGATGAGCAGAAAATATTGGTGGTAAATTCATCAAGCTTTCAAGGCATTATCATCGTAAACGTTAATCCACATTTAAAGTTCAGCGTGCGTCATTAGATTTCAAGCTTGCCGTCCCTGATACGTACCTCTCTGTTTAGGTACAGTTAACCACGTTGATCAACTCTTTTAGAGCATCAATAAGGTGATGAGTGCGAGGAACTCAATTAAGGTACTTGAGACCACCACAATTTAAGTAAGACCCATGAAGTTTATAAGGGGGCCAGACAAGTAAGGCGTTGGGATCTTCCCCCCACCCCCAATGCCTCCTCCTCTGAAATAAGCCCAGGTAAGACAGATGAAGTTTGTACTATATTGCCATAGAACTAAATTAACTATACAGTTTTAATTGTTTAAAAAGTAATGCTATACTAGTAGTCCCTCCTCAAATGTTGACGCCTTTAAAAGGCTACTGCTTTTAAATACAATTAAGGGAGGGGGACGTTTGACTGCCTTGCTCAGTTTAAGTCCCACAGCTCAGTCCGACACTGCGGCGTTGTCCTTACAGCGGTCTCTAAAATGAAGCACGTTTGGCATTTACATCACCCCATTTGTCAGTAGTTCTGTTTATTGTGTAGGAAATATTTTGTTTTGATTGCTGCTGGGCTTGGCTTCAGTGAAAGAATATACTCTTTATTCAGATGAGAACAGAAGGCTGCTTTCACTCCCCCAAACCGCGACGCAGAGAACAGCTGAGGAAGGGTGCTCGCAAGCTGATGGATGCAAAGACAAGTTGCAGCAGCAGCCAGACGCCAAGCGGGGCTTTCAGCACTTGCAGCAGCAGGTAGGCTTCAGCCCGCACGAAGAACCAAGGGTATTTTGAAAGCTTCTGGCTGGCACACGCAGAAACCCGAATCACCACTGTTAGCAGACAAACCCGACAAATGATTGCCTTCCTTTGCATGCTGATGTACTGCGTTTGGATGCAGAACATACCCATCGTGCTCAGGAGCTTTTGTGACGCCAGTTTTCCACACAAAACTGAATTCCACTTTTCATCCAAATACAATTGGCAGAAATCAAAAGCACAAAATAATCTTTTAATAAAAAACAAAGTCAATCACCGTTTTCTAGAAAATAAACAAAAACAAGACCTCAAATCTAAAAACTTACGCTACATACTCAAACAAATGTCTACCAAAATGTTGGATCCTTTCAGCTGTCAGAAGGACTAGCAACAACATTCTGCAAAATACTTGCAGCTTTAAATCAACATGTCCCCCTTGTTATAAAAAATGAGAGCAAAACTCTAGGAAAACAAGAAGCCTAAAGGCAAAGCAAGATTCACCATTTGAACAGAAAGCTTCCTGCTCAGCGATTTTAAAAAACAACCGCTTCCCTTTTTATCCATCCTGGTTTATACTGGCCATTTTCCCTTTCTGGTGGCTGCAGTCCAGGTAAGATCTATAGGCATGTGAAAACGCCACGGGCTGGAAATCAGAGCTGCACCCCTGCGGGTACCACCTACCCTGCGGGAGCGGGGCACGGCTCTCCCCGTCACCAGGCTCCCGGGGCACACGCGCTGCCCCGGGGGTAAGGGCTCTGACACTTGTACTGACAGCTACGTGATGGCGGACGATCCGTCCTAGGAGCGTTCACGCACGACTTCAACACGGGTCGGCTACGGTTAAAACACAGAATGTGCTTACAGAGGACATAAGGAAGCAGGATTATAAACTGAAGACGCCGGACTTGTACCATCACAGCGTTGTCTCCGGCCGATTTGATAAATAATGTACCTAGTTAACAGAAAGCAGGCAGGTTTACTGCTAATTCGTAAGGTAAAAGCGTCACGCTGCCTTCCTGCGGCTAAGTTCAGCTCCAGTCCTGCAGAACCATTTTTCCCCCCCCAATCGCAGCGTTTAGATTTTTGTTACTTTAATGCCGACACGTTCCAGCTTAGGCTCAGCTTGCAGCGGTGACTTTCCAAATCACGAGACTGGCACGCCTGTCAGGTTAACTTCTGGAGGTGCTCCCGGACACCCTCTCGCAGCTGCACTGCCAGGACAGGAGGACGGACTGGGAAGCAGGACAAACTCCGCAACGCTTGTGCCAGCCGGAGCACGCAGGGCAGACGCTCACGACCAGGGAGGCAGCCGGGGGCAGGAACTGGCAGACAAAAGCCCAGGGAGATGTTTCAGGAGGAGCGGAGCACGAGCCACACGACTTGCAGGAACCAACCCCTCGCCTGCGCTGAGTGGGACAAGGGCCTCGGAGCAGAGATAAACCCTGCCAGGCTTTCGCCTTTCAAACGATTTAATTTTTATTTTTCTATAGCCTGTAGAGCAGCAGCAGATAAGCCGGCCTCAAAAATCAAGTATTTCACCGTTTCTGCTGCAGCAACATCACATTTAGTGTCGTGGGCTGCATGTGGGCGTCTGGGGAACGCTTTCTGCAGAGGGCTTGGATGGGAGCTGCGGGAGAGCTCGTCTTCCTTGCTTCCTTTCCAAAGCATAATGAGAGTACAAGCACATACTAACAGTGACCAAAACACCTAGGGTTTTAAGCGATCAGATACAGCGTGGCTCCACGCTACAGCTTTTCTGACAGCAAAGCCCATTTACGAGGCTCCTGGGGTCCTTCCCCACCAGCCTCTCGCCCGCTCTCCGTCGGCGATGGCCGACCTCCCCCCGTGCGCTGCCCCAACCAACTTTAAAAACGCCGTCTCTCGAGCAGGTCTCGATGTGGCCGCAGACAGACGACGCCCGCCACAAGGCACAAGGAAGGGACAGGCAGCAGAGGTGGAGGTGAGGAGTCTGGTAAGCCAGGTTTGCCAGTTTGGGGCAATTACCAGAGGAGCCACAGCAGAAGAGCGCACCACCGGCCTTCTCAGTGCCGCCTTCCTCCTCGCCAGCAGCCGCATAAATTCTCCAGGGAAGAAAAACTGGGACTTCACATGGAAGAAGAATTTCCTCATTATTATTTTTTTTAAACTACAAAAGCTCTTCAGGGCCTGTTTTACAAATTATGAAGCAGAGATGCATAATAAAGAAAGCAGCACATCTTTGTTCCTTGCCAAACCACCTCCAGAGACCATCCCCGAAGAATTAGCAGCGGAGTCAAACGAGTGAATCACCTTATCGCCCTGTTTGGAAGTTCCACCACATTTCACTCGCAATATGCTCCGGCACCGATTTTCTGCCACAGTGACTCCACTCCATGCCTACAGAGGAGCGAGCAGTCCTTTTACAGAAAGAAAAGACCTTTTCCCTGCATCAAACCACCCTGAGACTGCAGCGAGCCACCCAATTAGTGCAGCAGAAAGTAACTAACGCTCTCCCTTTCAGTAAAGTCTGGTGAAAACATCATGCCGATCAGCGCCTGGCAAGCTCTTCTCACCCCAGCCGTCCTGGCCCCAGAAAGCCTCTGCTCTGCAGTCAAGCAACTGGAAAAATCAAAATGCAGGTAAAAACCTCCAGGATGTGCAATTTTCCCGACCCAGCACAGCATTCTTCTCTGTAGTGGTATGAAAGGGTAGACCAAAATAATTTACATTACCACAGCAAAACACAAAATTATGCAAATTACTGTAAATCTGCTGAGTAGTCTGAAAAAAAATGCCAACTCAGGTAGCGTTCCCTTTTAAAGATTCGTTTGAAATAAGTTCTAGCATTTTCATTAGCAAATAAGGCAGAGGGCTTTGTGTTTCTTCTCTACGTACACAGTCACGCAGGCAAAGCATTTGCAGGTTACTTTTCACATGGTAAAACAACTGAAAATCCCCTAGGATCCCCAGTTTTCTCCCAGAGGTACCCACGGACAGCAAGAAAAAGGGGCTGCGGGTATCTTCTGTCCGTTATTTTGGGCGCCTGTCCGTCCGTCCCTCCCTCCCTCCCAGGCAATCCGGCCCCTGCTCGCCCCAGGGCGGCGGTGCCGTACCCCGGTGAGCGTGGCCGCCCTGGCGCCCGCAGGCGAGCTCAGCCCTCCAGGTCACCTCCGCTGGCAGAGACCTGAGCTGGGTAAATAAATGGCTTTCGGTACGCTCTGGAAGGTAATTTATCGCTGCAGCATCAGCTTCGGACTAAGCCTCCAAGTCATAAACATAAAACGGCTTTAAAGTACTGGGGGTGTTGACCTAAAAAATAAGCACACACGTATATAGATAGCTATCCCAGCTGCTGTGTCCCAAGAAATCCTGATAGGCACTTAGCTGCGATGAGCACGACGCGTCCGATCCCAGGCGAAGGACACTTTTTCCATCGTACCGCCTACTCCTGCAGTGTGTGTGCTGGCTTTGGCACATCGCTGTGTTTCTGTCCCAAGAACAACAGGATTTCACCCAAAGCTGCTGGTCAATA